TTTGTTAATGCTAATTCAGCCTGCAAGGAAAGGGAGGGAAGCGTCTCCTGAGATGTGCTCCTGCAAATTCACCATCCTTGAGCATTCGAGGACGATTGACTCAGGCCCCGTTAACACTAGTGCGTTTTATTTTTAAAACGGCGTTTTAGATCAAAAACGATCTGCGTCCACACTAGCGTTTCACCTAGTGTTTCTAAACATATCTCCGTCCACACTACGCCACCAAAAACGTATATCACGTGACCATTCGCGCACTCTAGGCATGCGCGTTTTAGTATAAACAGAAAGCATGCATCTCGCTCAGCATGTGGTTATTGTTAGTCAACAATTGCCGGTTGTACATAAACGCGATGGCAAAGAAAGCAAGAAAGGTATTTTTGTGGACAGACAAGGAGGTCAAGTTGTTACTAAATGTATCAAATGAATAACTGCACAATGGCGCCTAAAACAGACAATAGTGCAAACAACGCTCCCATTTCTGTGTCCATGTTGTTGTTTACAGTACTGTCTTCCGGTAGCGATAAAGCCATGTGTTATAGGCTGCGTCTGAAACCGCATACTTCCATACTATATAGTACGCTAAAATCAGTATGCGAGCCGAGTAGCATGTCCGAATTCATAGAATTCGAAAATCAGTAGGCGAGAAGTACCCGGATGACTTACTACTTCCGGCAAGATTCTGAAGTGCGGATCCCATGCACGCTGCGCTTTCCCATAATGTCCCGTGAGAGAATTCATGAATGGAAGTGAAACGACGCAACTGACGCAGGTACGTCACGTGACCGTGACAAAATGGCGGATGTAGTACGTCCGAATTCCATTCATACTTTTCACATTCATACTGTATAGAACGTACTTTTCTAATGGCCGAGTAGTACGTTTAAATTCAAATGCAGTACCTACTGAGTAGTAGGCGGTTTCGGACGCAGCCATAGTCATGTTATAGGGACTTGACGAATAAGGGAAGGATACGCAATGACACAAAAGCCCCAATCAGGTAGGGAATCTCAGCAGTCCCGCCTCCGTTTTCAGATGTCTTTGTTTTTCCCCATCCACACTGAGACAGAGTAGCAGCGTTATAGAATGAAAACGGCCTCTCCAGCGTTTCCAAAATGCTCAGTTTTCGGCGCTCGAGAACTCCGCCGTAGTGTGGACGGATGGCGTAACCGTAGCAAAACTTATGCGTTTTAAAACGAAAAAAAAAGTGTGTGTTTTGACTCTGAAACTCGCGCGTGCCCAAATAGACACTCCCACACCATCCCACTTTAGTTCCTCCAACACTCCCCCCTATACAGAGCTGGACACGCCCACTTTTCTGACTTTTTCCAAAGTAGAGGTGTGAAAACACCCTGCTGAAACAAGGGGGTTTCATGGCCCTTTAAGACACCCCTCAGTGGAGGATAAGCAAATCTTACTAATATCTACCAATGAGATTAATACGAATTAGTCAATAAATCACAAACTTGCCGTGAGATTTTTTCTGGAAAATATGCAATGTGTTTTTATCGTTAGGTAACTTCCTTTACAGTATGTGCAAACATACTTTGATTCTCCATTTCATGAACCCAGCGACACATTTAATTCAGTCAGTGACAGTCTTTATATGCTAGTATATCATTTGAACCAGTGCAGTTTTCTCCGAGGAGACCTGAGCTCGGACTCACTGAACCTACAGAATCCCAGCGTCAGCAGCTCCGGCTCTATTGATCTCTCGTTTGGATTGAAAAGTTAATTGCACCTAACACTTTTTCACCGAGAATGTAATTTGCTCCGGTTTGCCGCAGGCACTGAAATTAATTGATTAAATGAAACTCAGAATAGGCATAGTCTGGGATTTGCGTTCCGCTGCAGAGAGAGAAAAATAAATAAATAAAAATAACACATACGCATCTGTTATGGGTAGATGGGTTCGTTTTCTTTGCCATTTTTTTTACTGAATGCTTTCAAAATAGTGTCTGAAAAGCCAGCGTGACTCATTTGAAATGCGGTCCTGCCTCAGGCTGTGTGTACGCTGAACTAAGATCAGCTTTCGCCTTTCATATCCCAACATGTAAGACTTATTTAGACCACAGAAAACTGATGCTAAATCAGGCCAAATCTCACATTATGTATGCTGAAAGATTACGAATATAAGCCTTTATTTGTGTAGAATCTCTCAGAGGAGATTATATGGCTAAAGGGGAACATACTCCAGATTTGTACATCATATTTTTTTCTGTGCACATACATCCTACATTCATCTGGGATTAGAGAGACTAAACACTTTAACCATCATAATGCATCATAAACATCTAACTCTGTTTGTATTCTGGCTCCGTTTAGACCTTGAGAGTCTAAAATGTGTATCATACACTCAAAAACAGTGTTGGGCAAGCTACTCGGAAAACATTGTGAGCTAAGCTAGTTACTCTGCTTGAAATGTAGCTTAACTACACTTAAAGCTACCCTAAAAGCTACATGGCAAAAGTAGCTTAGCTACATCTAAGCAATTTTTTTTTTATTATTATTTTCATATTTAAATCAAAGCAACTTCAATCCAAGTCAGTTCTATAGTGATAAATAAATTAAACATATGAGGCATAATTATTAAGTTCAGTTATTTACTAATTAATATGCTGTTCATTTAATATGCTGTTGCAAACGGAAACAAATGTTACTGTACAGCAAAAACATATCAAGAAATCAGCTATTGACATTTAAAATACTATAGTAATGTATAGCAAGTATATAGGAAAGTGTATTATAGTGTGTGTGTGTGTGTGTGTGTGCATGTGCATATATACTCGCCGGCCACTTTATTAGGTACACCTGTCCAACTGCTCATTAACGAAAATTTCTAATCAGCCAATCACATGGCATGTAATCATGGTCAAACCGAGTATCAGAATAGGGAAGAAAGGTGATTTAAGTGACTTTGAATGTGGCATGGTTGTTAGTGCCAGACAGGCTGGTCCGAGTATTTCAGAAACTGCTGATCTACTGGGATTTTCACACACAACCATCTCTAGGTTTTACAAAGAGTAATCCGAAAAGAGATGATATCCATTGAGCGGCAGTTCTGTGAGCACAAATGCCTTGTTGATTCCAGAGGTCAGAGGAGAATGGCCAGACTGGTTCGAGCTGATAGAAAGGCAAAAGTAACACAAATAACCACTTGTTACAACTGAGGTCTGCAGAAGAACATCTCTGAAAGCACAACATGTCTAACCTTGAGGCAGATGGGCTACAGCATCAGAAAACCACACTGGGTGCCACTCCTGTCAGCTAAGAACAGGAAACTGTGGCTAAAATATGCACAGGTTCACCAAAATTGACCAATAGAAGATTGGAAAAATGTTGGCTGGTCTGATGAGTGTTGATTTCTCCTGTGACATTCAGATGGCAGGGTCAGAATTTGGTGTCAACAACAGGAAATCATGGATCCATCCTGTCTTGTATCAATGGTTCAGGCTGGCGGTGGTGGTGTAATGGTGTTCGTGATATTTTCTTGGCACACTTTGAGCCCATTAGTCACAGTTGAGCATTGTGTCAACACCACAGCTTACCTGAGTATTGTTGCTGACCATGTCCATCTCTTTATGACCACAGTGAACCCATCTTCTGATGGCTACTTTCAGCAGGATAACACACCATGTCATAAAACACCAATCATCTCAGACTGGTTTCTTGAACATGACAATGAGTTCACAGTACTCAAATGGCCTCCACAGTCACCAGAACTCAATCCAATAGAGCACCTTTGGAATGTGGTGGAACAGGAGATTCGCATCATGGATGTGCAAATCTGCAGCATCTGCCTGATGCTTTCATGTCAATATGGACCAAAATCTGGGAGGAATATTTCCCGTACCTTGTTGAGTCTATGCCACGAAGGATTAAAGCAGCTCTGAAAGCAAAAGTGGATTCAAACCATAACTAGTAAGGTATACCTAATAAAGTGGCCAGCAAGTGTGTGTGTGTGTGTGTGTGTGTGTGTGTGTGTGTGTGTGTGTGTGTATATATATATATATATTATTATTAATGTTTTCATGTAAGTGCACTTGGGCATATTTGCAGAACAAGTTGAATAACTATAAAACCAATTCTACTCTAACAAGAGCACAGCATCAGAATTAATTTTGAGTCGTGTACTTCAAGGTATGGTCCTGCTTCAGAAATAATTCCTCTACAGCAGGGGTGCTCAATCCTGTTCCTGGAGATCTACCTTCCTGCATATTTCAGTTGCTACCCATATCAAACACACCTGCCTGTAATTATCAAGTGGTGTTCAGGTCCTAATTAATTGGTTCAGGTGTGTTTGATATGGGTAGCTGAAATCTGCAGGAAGGTAGATCTCCAGGAACAGGTTTGAGCACCCCTGCTCAAACAGTCTTTCCATCAGGCAAGTTTCTTGTGTCAGCCCAATGATTGATTGGCGATGACACCAACCAGAGCGAGAGGTTTGTTTGTTGAATTCACTATTCTCGCTATCATATGGATTTACAGTACTTTCATTAGCCAAACACTTGGTTTACAGCTCTGTGAACTGCTGTAGGGTCACTTAATGATCCGTGGTCGGTAAATGTAGCTTGTGTGTACGCTACTGCACTACTTACTTAAAGTAATAGCTTCACCTCTGAAAAGCTATTTGATTTAGAAAGTAGCGACGCTTCCCCCACGCTACTGAGAAATGTAGCGTCACTACTTGTAGCCACGCTACTGCCCAACACTGTCATACAAATATTTTTGCTGCAGGTTCAAATTCCTTATTTAAAATGAGCTGAATCAACACAATTCTTGAGGGTTTTTGGGACAGCTTAATTGTTTTAAGTTCAATCAACTTAAAATTGTAAAAAAAAAAACTATAAAGTTAACTCAATCGATTTGTGTTGGGACGGCGTGAAGGAATTGTGTGGAGCCCAGCATTTTTTACACTGTTACTTATTCATTTTGGTGTACAGTAGATGCCAAAGCAAGTTCTAGCACTAATATTTCCTCTTTCTTTCTTATTCTCTTTACAGAAAATCCTGGAAGTTGCGGAGACCTGAAATACGTGGATTGAGTGAGCTGTAACAGCATGACGGAAGTCCTCAATGTGTGGACATGCTCTAAAACATCTAGAGTTATATTTAACTGACTTTAAATATGCACTCCTTGCCAGGCTATTCAAAACAAATGGCTTGATTATATTCAGGACATGACAGGGTTATTTTAATATACATTTTTCCTGGTATTAGTTGCATGCATTGCTTTATGATTTCTCGGTCAATACAAATGTTACTGGTATAATGAGAGACGGGTGGGAATGTAGGAATCCGATCGTTGCATGTGTGTTAAGGGTTGATACATGTATTGTCAAATGACTGGGTTGATTTGTTTATCAAAGTACACGGATATTTATTCTCGTCTAAAGCTGTAAAAGTATGTTGTATAAGACGTGTTTGGAAGGTTTTTAGTTTTCATTCACACCAACCAAAGACAGAGCAGTGCCTTTACACATCACTGTATCGCGTTCAAATGCTTTTGTTTACAGATGTCAAGCCTGACTTTGCTCTGTACTGTACTTGAATTAAGCATATTCGTTATCTTGTACCTGAATATAAACATTTTAAATATACAGATCGCACGCTATTTGTTTTCGTCACGTCCTTTTGCACATCTTTATTTGGTTTTACCAAAACATGATGGTAATGCTTTACCTGTTATAGGTGTGGTTTTAGCCAAGTACGATGCAATCCTGGATTAACTTCTATGTTGATCCTGGAACATCAATTTAACTCATCCTTATTTCCATAGCGCTTTTACAATGTAGATTCAAAGTACCTGAAGAGCGGTGTGGGTGAGTTACGTGCGACGTACTTGAAGAGCTGGGAGGGATACAATAGAGAGGGGTGTGCACTTATTTAAGGACCAGGCGGGACACGCGCAAACTTCCAGGAGACTTGGGATGTCTGTTTTATTGAACAAAGTAAAGGAATTAAATATATTATACAAAATATTTATCAGAAAAATGTTAATTATGACAATTATAACGGTCTCATGATCGTCATGTTTATGACAGATTTATGACAGTTATGTTATCTTAGTAATGACAGATTATAATGTATTTGTTTACTCCCAAGTTGTCATATTGGTAAATCAAACAAGGTCACCTTTGCATTTTAAATGCTATTACTGATGACATTTGATGTCATAAGCATGCATAAAATATCCTTCATATTCATGACACATTATAATTATAAAGCTGCCATGACAGTCTTATGAACACCCCATCTTCAAGTTAAGCGTAACCCACCATATACAGTTGAAGGCAGAATTATTAGCCCCCCCTGTTTATTTTTATCCCCAATCTCTGTTTGACAGATTTTTCAACATAATTTCTAAACATAATCGTTTTAATAACTCATTTCTAATAACTGATTTATTTTATCTTTGTCATGATGACAGTAAATAATATTTAACTAGATATTTTTTAAGACACTTCTATACAGCTTAAAGTGACATTTAAAGGCTTAACTAGGTTAATTAGGTTAACTAGGTTAGGGTAATTAGGCAAGTTATTGTAAAACGATGGTTTGTTTTGTAGACTATCAAAAACAAATGTAGCTTGAAGGAACTAATAATTTCGACATTAAAATGTTTTAAAAACCTTTATTGAAATTAAAAACTTCTTTCATTCTAGCCGAAATAAAGCAAATAAGACTTTCTCCACAAGAAAAAATATTATCAGACAGACTGTGAAAATGTCCTTGCCCTGTTAAACATCATCTGAGAAATATTTTAAAAAATTAAATCAAAGGGGGGCTAAATAATTCTAACAACAACTATATATTGTGAACCAAACATCTCATAACTTCACACTTGACATTTCCTGAAGACACAGACTTAAGGCAGTGTGACTATTCAACTTACAGTTCAGTCTAATTAAAGAACGGCTCGTCACACTTTCTGACACTGAAGTCATCTCAGCAGTTTCCACTGACCAGCGATGACACTGACAATATGCAGTGTCTGTGTGCTCGCAAGGTGCACAACACATACAGCCTGTTTGACCATTTGGCTCATATACTAGACATGTACTTGGATGAGAAGTGTGTGCTTGAGATACCCCTGAAAAGCTCTTGGTTACTGGAGACACCTTGGCAGCACAAGCAGGCAGTAAATTAGGAGCAAATGCCTTTCAGCAGCAGCAGCAGCTAGTGGGAAGCGGTACTCTTATCAAGTTTAGCTTCTTTCTACTATATAGTGCTGGAGAAAAGCCATTCATTGGACACATTGGCTGTATGTAAAACTGCCCCTTATACCTTTAGAGGTGCATTGATTCATTGATTCATTCATTTTCTTTTCGGCTTAGTCCCTTTATCAACCTGGGGTCGCCACTACGGAATGAACCGCCAACTTATCTAGCATGTTTTTATGCAGTGGATGCCCTTCTAGCCACAATCAATCTCTGGGAAGCATCCACACACATTCATTCACACTCATACACCACGGACAATTTAGCTTACCCAATTCACCTGTACCGCATGTTTTTGGACTGTGGGGGAAACCTGAGCACCCGGAGGAAACCCACGCGAAGGGAGAGCATGCAAACTCCACAGCGAAACGCCAACTGACCCAGCCGAGGCTCGAACCAGCAACCTTCTTGCTTTGAGGAGACAGCACTACCGACTGTGCCACTGCGTCACCCTGTGCATTGATTCAACAAGTTCAATTGTTCTAATCTGATATTTACATAGTAGGTATGTAGCTTATAGCCCGTTTCCACTGAGTGGTACAGTGCGGTACACTTTTATGGCCATTTCCACTGTCAAAAGGTACCAAAAAGCAAACGGTACCAAACCACTTTTTAGGTACCCTTTCAAGAGGGTACCTATCACAACAAAAGTGCACCGAAAGGCAAAGCTAGATGCGCAACACACCGCTATTGGTTTACAGCGAAACGTCACTAGCTCGTGCACAAGCTACGAGAATGAAAACAAAGAAAGTGGCATTTCATCGTAATAATATATACATATAATAACAAGCCATGGTCGACTCGAGCTTAAACAAACCTTGTCGTCGTCTTGATGAACAGCCACAAAGTCAAGAAGAAGAGCAGAATCTACCCTGTGCACCGTTGTTGTTTACAAGGCCGTCTAAAGCATGAGCGGTTTCGCTTTCTTCAGAGAGCTCACGATCGCTCGCCGCATGTCTATATTTGAAATAACGAACTTCCTGAGCTTATGACAATAATGTTCACGTGATTATTGAAGCACTTCTGATCTTCTGATCCTTTCAGAAACGGATAAAGGCGAGAGTGAAGTGCGAAAAAACAAAAGGAGAGGCCCGACAAAACAAAGGAGCAAATGATTCTTTCAGCAACCTAAACCATGAACAAACTGCCATGTTTAACTCTTATCATCACCTTTTAGACTATCATTAAATCGGAATGACGGAATTAAGGCTGATTTATACTTCTGACAAGTGCATGCGCATGCTATGGAGCAGCCTACGTGTGGACGCATAGCTCTCGCCGTGGCCGTCGCTGATACGCACCTCTCAAAAACTGTAACGACGTGTACAGCAAGCTCTGTGATTGGTCGGCTTGGTAGCGCTGACGAGTGTAAGCGGAACAGAGAGCCACGCAATCGATTGTTTACAAGTGTGGAGTCCCGTAAAGGATCTCCAGATGAAACGTTTTGTTTTGTGTTTACTCTATGGTTAAAGTTGTTCCACGTCCACCGGTTACTGCCTCAAAATGAGCGAGTTTAATATGCTTGGACATTAAGGAAGCATTCAGATAAAACAAAACACCAGCGAAGAAACTTGACATAGAGGAACGTAAACACTTCACTGCCAGCTAACGTGTCGGAAGTGTTATTGCAGAACAACAGAAACAGTGGGCAGAAGGATGAATGCACAGCTGCGCGCGTTCCATGCGCCGTGGGTCACGCCGATTACTTGGCGCAGAAGTATAAACCAGGCTTTACTCTCTAACAGAGGTTGCATTTGCTGGTGACGATTAAAGATACAGTTGAGAGGTCTGCACTGATTGTAGGCTTTATGTTGAGTGTTGTTTTTGAACCCAAATAAGGACTAAATGTAAGCTGTGTGTAGTTTTTCAGTAATTGTTAACATATTGGAGACCGTAAGGGGCTGTATGTGTTTATATATGTTAAGTTTATTTATTTTATATAATTGCAGACGATACAGTAGGCTAGATCATTGGTCTGCAGTTACAAGCAAATTATGTTCATACGGTTAGTAATGAACATTTATACAGACGTATTTGTGTGTATAAAGCTTCTGTTTTGTGAGAAGTGCTTCTCATATAATGTGAATGACATGTCCCCTAGGGATGGCTGACGTGAAACTGACGTTTCGAGATCCCGAAGCGCAAGTGTTTCGAAACTGCACCGAAGCATGATCTGAAACGCCCAAGTGACTAAAGTGTTTTGAAACACCTGGTCACGTGACTAAAGCGATCCAAACTTAAAGCATCGATCAGTTTAGAAGCGTTACGGGACCTGGCGAATTTGCATGCGACTGCCAGGGTCAGAAATCTACTTCTGTTTCATATGGCCTAGTGGACTGTGTGTGTGCACGCTGATTCTGTGCTTCAACTGTCTTTTGGGTTCGAATCCCGACTTGTACAAATATTCCGACATCATGATTTTCTGTATTTTAATCACGTTTCTGTTTTATGGTGTAGTGTAGATAGGATACAGCTGCGGATACACCATCAATTTAGCATTATTTTTGTAACACTGTAAAACAATAATTAATATTTCCACAGTACTGTGCTGGTTGAGTTAAGGGTTTGGGTAGACGTTAATAAAATACAATAAATGGGAAATTTAATTAATAATACAAATAATTGTTGTTAACTTCTGGCCACAACCACGTCTGATCTAGCAACAACCCTGTTTTATGACCAAAACAAGATAAATTTATTCACAGTGTTTCAAGAGTTCACACTTAACTGATGATTAATTATAAAAGCTGGTTTGGCATGCTGTCCCGGGAGAGAACCCTGAGCTCCTAAGATCCTCGAGCCCAGGGCTCCCTCCCGTTGCAAGGCGGGAGGGGAGTTTGAGCTCAGGTAGATCTCGAGAACTCCCCTGCTGTAGTAACCAATGAACAGTAAGTGATTGCTTTTGGAGATAACTACGTACTAGAAGCAATATCTATGGTGCCAATTTGGATTAGTCAATTAACTTAATTGCATGTTTTCAGGAGGTGGGAGGAAACCGGGGAACCCGGGGGAAACCCACGTGAGCACGGGGAGAAGTGCAAACTCCACACAGAATTGTCTGCTGGTTTGGTAAAGCCTGGAACCAGAGACATTCTTGCTGTGAGGCAACAGTGCTATGCACTGGGCCACCGTGCCACCCATCAAAGAAGGAGGAGTAGGGGTGGAAGGGGGGACTCTTCAAAACGAAGATAGCAGTGGAATGAAACCCAGGGTATTTATAGTAGTTTAGGAGTCATCTGATTGGAGCGTAGTTAATTGTATAATGCGGATCCAGCTGCTAGCAATCATAAGCACGTGATCCTCTCGAAATTAGTTTATACATAAACTTCACTTATTTGGATGTCAGACCAATGTTGAAACAAAACGATACAAGAACAAAGCATTACCAACTGGTATAATAGCATTTCAAAATGGCTTTATTAACCTGGATTTGAACCCATTATCCCCACATGGTAGTCAGGAACCCTAACCGCTCCACTAAATCACTTCAAAGTTTATACTACAAAGTGGGCTTTAATACCTCAATTTGTTCAACTGTTCTTTGCTGAAGCTGTTTCAGTGCAATCCATAAAAAATGACCTCTAGGTGTCACCGTAGAGTGGGGTTTCGAAACGTTTCGAAGCTTCGACACATTTGCTTTGACTGTTTCAGGGTTTCATGAAGCCTCGCTTTGCCCATCACTAATTTCCTCGAGCGAGAATGATGTTGACTGAAACATTCTGTTGTACACCTTGGCCATTGTTCCATCAGTACCGTTTTGGCAGTGGAAACGCAAGCCTGAAAAAAGTGACCCGTACCATACCACTCAGTGGAAATGTGCCAATATAGGCAAGTACAAAAAAATAAATAAATAAATAAAATATAAAACAGAAACTGTTATATACTTTTAATTTTAACATAAACGTAGATAAACAAAAATAAGGGAGAAAAATGATCATTGTTGTAATCTTGCTAAGAAACATTGCGGCCGATCAGACTCTGCCTGGGGAATGCATATTAATGATCCAATGTGCAACATATCAGTCGGTGTTTGAGAAGGGTATAAATGGAGGTTGAAGCCAGCTCCAAGTGGGCTGTATAAACCTGAATGTTTTTATTTGTTTAATGTCTGTACATTAGACGCAGTCCAATGATGTGCTTTATGAATGTCTACAGTAGGGCTGCTCAACCTTCTTCCTGGAGATCTACCTTCCTGCTGAGTTCAATATGAAGGTAATTCAATAGCAAAATTTGAGAGCTTGCAAATCTAAATGTGAGCACTTGTGATAATAATATTTGTATGTGTTGAAATGTACACTCACAGCTCTGATGTGAACAGCTGACTCCCTCGATTTGCACACACACACAACAATCAACACACTTTTGTTAAATATCATTAATTCTACGGAAATGTACATACCAGTAAAAGAGCAGCAAAGCCAGTTTATTGGCTAGAGCCAGTCAATAAGATGGGACGTTTCTGTACGTCAGGACACAAGGCAGCTCTCGTTGTTGCAGGAATCAAGCAATCGGAGGGTAAGTTATCATTTTTAATAATTATCTATGTTCAATACTGTCAGCTAAGCTAAGGACTGTGCTAGGTGCTTCTGTAGTTTTTTTATATATATATAAGAAACGGTTATGAGTTATTTAGGAGCTGCTTTCAGTGATGTTATATGGTTCTAAAGATACGATTCAACCCACATAAAATAAGTTGTAATATTATTTATAGTAAATAATATTACGTTTTTGAACCATACTTTAGTAAACTGTATTATACTGCATATGTTGCAGTATCTATAACTTTGTTAATGAATGCAACAGCACACTGTAGTATTAAATATCATGAACTTAGATTTGCAAGCTCTCGAGTTTTGCTACTGAATTACCTTCATAGAACAAACACACCTAAACAAATTAATTAGGACCTGAACAGCACTCGATATTTACTGGCAGGTGTGTTTGACAAGGGTGCAAGTGAAATCTGCTGGAAGGTAGATCTACAGGAAGAGGGTTGAGCACAACAGGTTACTTTGAGGTCACGTTTAAGAATGACCTTAAACCCAACCTCACAGTAACCTGTTGTTTTGTTCTACTCCACCTGTACCACCTAAACTCAGCCTACTTGTGGCTAAAGTACCTCCCATTTGGAGGTCAACCAACCAACTTGCTGTGTAACCCCTCCCACCTAGAGGTATCCGAGATGCAGCGATACCAACTTGCTTTGTTTTGCCTCCCTGCTGAAAAATCCAGCTTAAACCAGCCTAGGATGGTTGGCAGGTTTTAGCTGGTCAACCAGCCTGATTTTAGAGGAGTTTCCAGCCATTTCCAGCCTGGTCTTAGCTGGTCAGGTTAAAAAGTGACCAGCCAAAACCAGCTTGACCATCCTGGTCTAAGCTGGACATAGCTGGTTTTGGCTGGGCTCCCAGCCTGGCTAGGCTGGTCAAGCTGGTTTTAGCTGGTCATCTCCCAGCCTGACCAGCTAAAACCAGCCTGAAAGTGGCCAAAAGCCCTCTAACACCAGCCTGGTCGACCAGCTAAAACCAGCCAACCATGCTAGGCTGGTTTAAGCTGGATTTTGCAGCAAGGCTGCTGAAGGTCTGATGACACGGCTGGTCATGCAGGTCCGGCCAATGTAAAATGTGACCTAGAACATGCATGCTACTGATTAATGCAATCCTTTATATTGTGTTCTTATTGGGCCTTTTTTCTTCTGGAGGTTTACACTTGAGAATAAAAATAAATTAAATATGGTGTTTGGCTCACGGTACGGCCATTTCCATTTACTGAACTCTTATTATTGGACTATACCTAGGCATACCTATATTTTCTTTATAGGACACTTTTAAATGTTCGACTATTTGAGGGAGCAGTAATGTCCAAAACTTCAATCAATCCCACAATGCATTGCAGTAACGAGTGCACAATCACCGCAAGACTCCACATCTAGAGCAGGGGGGGTCAACCCTGTTCCTGGAGAGCCACTATCCTGCAGATTTCAGTTGCTACCCATATCAAACACACCTGAACCAATTAATTAGGACCTGAACACCACGTGATAATTACAGGCAGGTGTGTTTGATATGGGTTGCAACTGAAACCTGCAGGAAGGTGGCTCTCCAGGAACAGGGTTGGCCACCCCTGATCTAGAGAACAGCCACAATACTCTGTAGAGTTCACATGTCAAATAAACTCTGCATATGACCACAAGATGGCATCTACGGCAGAATCTTATCAGCATACGTTTCCCATAATGGATTTCTGAAGTGCAAATTATGAATCGAGTGAACCATATTGCCAATTTACTCCTTTAGGTAGACTGTATTAGTGGACAAATGTAGGGAATAGTGAATGAGGGTATAAGGGGGGATTCAGATACAGCCATTATTAAATGACCTGTTTTGGTGAGTGTCTCTTTAAATTTTAATGAACAACTCTCTCTTCAAGGCTGACTCAAAGACTCAATTTTACCAAGAAACATCATCACTATTTTGTAATTAGGTGGAAACAGAGCTTCGTAAACATACCGTAGGTCAGGGGTTCTCAACCACAGTCCTGGATAGCTGATGTCCTGCAGATTTTAGCTCTGACTTGCCTCAACACACCTGCAAGGAAGCTTCTAGAAAGCCTAGTGAGAGCTTGATTAGTTAGCCCAGGTGTGTCTGATTGTTTTCACTCCAAGTGCCATTTAGAGGATGATGTATTCAGTTTAAAACCGATCAATAGGGTATATGCCGAGCTAGTGCTGTTCCCATGCTGATACACTTCCGGTGACCTGTTATTGTGAATTTTTTTCCATTTTATACGGTTCCTTATACAGCATCGATGCTGTAATGTCATTAAAATACATTCAGTTCAATAAACTTTAGCATTTATTTGGTTGCTCAAGCGTAAAACGAGACAAAAAGCTGTTTACTCGCACGCGCCCGTCAGAATCGGCAGGCTAACGCAGAAGCTCCATTGAATATACTGGAGTAAAATTAATGCTCATATAATAAAGACATGGCGGGGAAAATGTAATTTAATGCAGTGCTTCTTATACAATCTGAGACCCACTTTAAATCGGATATCACTCAGCTAGTGGAGATCGCTGATTTTTAAAGAAAACAGCCCTTAAACGCACCGGATTTTACATTGGCATTCAATTCGCCGGAAGCGCTTAACCCAGGTTACTGGCAAATTAAAAGTCCTATTAGCATGCTTTGGCATATACCCCATTAATTCAATTAAGGCTGTGATGTGATTGTTTTCAAGTCACATGCGATCTTAGTTGGCTGTCATTGCTTAACTTTATGATTTGTTTTTCTTTGTGTTGAAGCCCTTACAGTAGCAGCAGCCTAACATTTCTATTTTATATTTAAGTACTTGCTGATATAAAATTCTGTTGTTAAGAACCAATTTATTTCTAATTCAGATTGATTTAGGGTTTCATTTACAATTTAATTAAGCACCATCTGTATAGTTCCCGTACAGCCTTTAGGCTACTTTTGAATTCTAAAGAATAGGAAACATTTTTGTATTCAGTTGAAGTCAGAATTATTAATTATAATAATAATAATAATAATAGATTTATAGATATATAAATCTATAAAATCTATAGATATATAAATAATATAATAATAGAATTATAATAATAATTATTATTGATTTTGTTTTTATTTTTTACATATTTCCCAATTGATGTTTAACAGAGCAAGGACATTTTTACAGTATATCTGATGAGATTTCTTTTCTTCTGGTGAAAGTCTTATTTTTTTTTTTTTTTTGGCTAGAATTAAAGAAGTTTGAATTTTTTTTAACACCATTTTAAGGACAAAATTATTAGCCCCTTTAAGCTATATATATTCCGATAGCCTACAGAACAAACCATCATTATACAATAACTTGCCCAATTACCCTAACCTGCCTAGTTAACCTAATTAACCTAGTTAAGCCTTTAAATGTCACTTTAAGCTGTATAGAAGTGTCTTGAAAAATATCTAGTGTCATATTTATATAATATATAAAAATCTAATATTATTGACTGTCATCATGGCAGATGAAATAAATCAGTTATTAGAGATGAGTTATTAAAACTGTTATGTTTAAAAATGTGTTGAAAAAAATCTCAACTAAACAGAGATTGGGGAAAAAAATAAACTAATAATTCTGACTTCAACTGTGCGTCTTCTTGTTTGCATTCTTGTTCTCATTTTTAAAACTAACACATAATACTTCATCCCCATCTCCGGTGTCTAATGAAAGTAATAATAGTTTTACTTTCAGAACAAGATATTCGCAGAGACAAAAACGACAAAAGGACGATAAAAAAAAGTCCAGGTTTAAAGACAACATATTTCACATTTAATTTCGGACATCACCATAGCTATATGTAACTTTTAAAGACAAGTTTCAGCAACAGAACATTTATCCATTTTGCTTCTTCAAAGGTGTTTTTTTTTCTTTTTCTTTTAACGTCAGTACATGGTTTGGTCCTGTAACATTTTTGTGGTGGTTCTTCTCCTCTGAACGAACGTGGATCAGTAATGTCAAACGCACAACACATGCACATGTCGTTTAGCTGTTTACATTAGGGTAGGACAAAGTCAGAGACTAACATTATGCATACAGCACTGGGTTTTTTGTTTTTTTTCCTTTTAAACCTGCTCTGTATTTGACACTCATATCTAATAAGGCTATATCACAGCTATGAACAAGAAGTCCAACACTGCATTTCTAAGTGTAGAGCACCATATTTACACCAATATTTACACACTTTTATTTTTAAAAACGAAAAAGACAAAAACAAACAGAAATACTTAAGATAAATTTGGGTCAAGTGAGCCATTTGAAGGATGTACAGGCTTGAAATATAAAAACAAAAACAAAACTGATATTTACATATAGCTGCAACTTATAGCTTAGCTTATTGCAAATGCCCTTAAAATCTCACAACCGATCACCTTTCACACTCGCAGTCCTGTAGAGCTTTATTTCTATGCCAAGTTGATGGTCACCCGATGGCCAACTCTTGAATAAAAAGACTGACCATCCGCTGAATAGAAGATAATCCATTTATGTTGTCAAAAAAAAAAGCCCCGTTTCATTCCATCTAACGAGCCGGTTTAAGGCTCACATCCAAAACAGCATTTTAAAACAGCAGTCCTTTAAAAAAAATAAACTTTTAAAAAAATATATGTACATACTTATAAACAGACCCTAAGGCCAGTCGATTCTGAGACTGGTATATACAGTAACTCGAAGCTGAATTGTACAAGAACAACAGTGGTGAGAGAATAAACGACAACGATTTCTCAAGCCAAGGAATCACTTCTCTCCATTCAGATTTTATCTGTAATAACGACGTTAAGAAATAGGGCCACTGGCTTAACGATTCCCATTAAAATATTCAGAACTACACCAGCTGAATACTATCACTGTCTGCGGGTTTGATTTTACTCCGGCAGAGACAGCATTGTAAAGGCTAATTACCCCCACTGAGCTTTGAATGGTGTTTAAAGTATCCTAATTGCAGACTCTACTTGCACCGTAGTGAATTTGTAAGTTTATAATTCGATAAGAACGCATTGCATTTACGTGTGGGTGTATCCACAGTGCTGTCTGGGATGCAAATTTGGCAAAACATTATTACTTAAGAGGGCATTTCGCATGTGGGCTTGTTAAATTGACCAGCTTGACTATAAATTGCACTTAAATCCCAAACGTTTCCTTAAATATACAACCAAACCAAACGGTGATGTAGATTAAGAACATGTGGAACGTGTGAATGTCGTGATATTTTAAGAAACAAATACAAGATATCGGCAATAATCATAACCTCCTTTTGGAAATTCCCTATTAAACATTTCCCTTGTTATTGCAACTGATTGTCACGAACCTCAATGTTCATCTATACCAGGGGTCGCCAATCTCGGTTCTGGAGGGCCGGTGTCCCTGCAGGGTTTAGCTCCAACTTGCCTCAACACACCTGCCTGGATGTTTCAAGTACACCTAGCAAGACCTTGATTAGCTCGTTCGGGTGTGTTTGATTAGGGTTGGAGCTAAAATCTGCAGGACACCGGCCCTCCAGGAACAAGTTTGGTGACCACTGATCTATACTAAAGATTATCAACGGAAACAGTCAATAGCACTTTAAAAATGGTGAAGCAATCCCAAAATGGTCGTTGACTTTAAGACTGATCAGACAGCACTATGAATTAAAACAAGTTTCGTTCTCTACTCTCACTATTGCTTTTACTGTATAACCATCTCATTACAATCACATCTGGGCTTCCATTTACAAAATGACTTGTGGTATTTATAGGCTGAACTTCTTTTAAGTGCTTGTTTTAAAAATCGCCACATCTTGCTCGAACATCCTATTGGTCTTATTTAAATTCCAGTTTATTAAGGGTCATTTTACACACACGGCTTCCGCAAATCTTGATTGATTGAGTGGCGTTGGAAACATGGAATTCATGTTCAGAGCATTTCATTTCAAGGGCTATAAAAGGACAATAACCAGAAATAAATACCAAATTACACTAAAGTCTAATTGGGCAAAACAATAAAGACACAAAAAAAAGTTCAGACTAGCAGCGTGCACTTCATTAAAAACCAATGGGTCCAAGAGAAGAAACTTAATAAATAAGTTGTGAGAATGATTAAGACAACATAGAAGGCAGGTTTAAAGGTCAAGTTGGGATCAAGAGAGGTCATATACAGCTACTGGTGGAGAACTCAAGTCATCATATGCTACAAATGTGGCAATAGGAACGATCCGACTCTGTGAACCAATCGTGAGCCGTGCCGTCATATGACCTGGCAGCAGCTGGCCTGGGCTGAGGCACAGAGTAGCCCATCCCTGGGGCTTCGCTGGATGTTCACCGAGATGGTCTTTTCACACAGAGGTAGCTGGAGAACATTATTTTTCAAGTTCAGATTGTTCTCTTTGACCAGGCCAAGTTCATTTAACATGACTGCTGTTTGGTCTTGATAATGCTCCATTGCACCAACGCCACCATTCAAGGCAGGGTTGATAACTTTATCTAGACTGTTGTTGGAGCCAATGCACATCTTCCAGGAGGACTTCTCCTGGACTTTAACGCTGGACAGGCTCTGAGGATCAAGGATGAACCGTCCGCCACCACCTCCTCCAGAGCTGCGATGCTGAAACTGAGAACTTAAGCAGAGACTCATGAGTTTTAGACTCTCTACTAGTTCCCCTGCGCTTCGAGCTGCACTACGTGATGAGCCAGATGAAGCGTTGTTGTTGTTGCTGCTGCTGCGGGAGCAGCTGGAAGGGCCTCCCTGTCCTTTTGTACTTCCACCACCTCCACCTCCCCCTCCTGCACTACCACCACTGCCTCCCCCTGGAGGACTGCCCTTGTCTGGTCCTGAGTTACCTTCCCCAGGTGGTTTGCTTTGGCCTCCGCTACTGCCACCCCCATTACCCCCAGAGTTTCCAGGCGGACCCTCACTACTGTCCCTGCGGTTCCAGCTGTAGGTGAACCCTGTGTCTTTGTCTAGTCGTCGACGATGACTCTCTGAATCATCATCACTGGTTTCGGAGCTTGAGCAGCTGGAACCACGGCCCTGACTTTTGCGCCGGGGGTAGCGCTTCTGTGCTGTACCTGGAGATGTCATGTTCATCTTCAACCGGCTGAGCTTAGGTGGAAGACTCTCGTCCATGTCAAAGTCATCATCTGATTCTCCTTCCTCCTCAAAGATCTGATTAAGCACTGGGGCACTTTTTCTAGATGTCAGCCGGTTGGTGATGGACAGTGGTTTGCGCCGCAATACGACCTGTGTGGGCAACGGTGAAGGCTCCTGTTCTTCTTCCTCCTCCTCATCTTCTTCCACTCGAAAGAGGCAGGTTCGTTGCTTGGCTGAAGCAGATGCAAGTGGGGCCATGACCCCAGGCTTAAGGGGGTTTGGTGGCAGAGAAGCAGGTGCAGGAGAGCTGCTGGAAGCTTCGCAGATCTCCTCTCTGCGGCTCACTTCCAAAAGTCCTTTATTGCGATGACCATTCAGCAGGTTCTCTGCACTGCGAGCTGGAGACTGTGGACCCCCAGCATGACAAATAGATGAAGAAGCTAAGCTGTCCTCAATGTCCTGATGCAAGTCATTTTTAGTTGGCCATGACTGCCTGCAAAATAGAAAGACATGCATATTAAAAACTTGCCTTAAATTTACTCCATTAGAGTAAGAAACCTAAAGTTTTAAATAAGAGCTGGTGAATATTAAGTCAAAGCTTTTAAAGCAGGGGTCACCAAATTGTTCCTAGATAGCTAGTATCCTAAAGAGTTTAGCTTCAACCCTAATTATACACACCTGAACATGCTAATCAAGCTCTTACTAGGTATAGGTAAAACTTCCAGGCAGGTGTCTTTGATTAAAGTTGGGGCTGAACTCTGCAGGGATACTAGGCCTCCAGGACTGGGGATTGGGGACTGCTGCTTTAAACTTCAAACTTGATTCCTGGAGGGCCACAGTTACGCACAGTTTAGCTTGAACCCTTATCTAACACACCTGGTCTAACTAATTAGGTGTTCAAGACTGCTAGAAAATATTAAGGAGGTGTGAGTAGGAGCTGGTTGGAGCTAAACTCTGAATAGCTGTGGCCCTCCAGGAATTTTGAGACTGGTACTCTAAAGAATACCATAGGAACACAACTCAAATGTTAAAGGCAGCCAAACTTGCTTCGCAAGCCAAGCACTCAAATAAAGAACATAAGGTGATTCAAAATATCTCTGAATGAAGGTCTCTTGACCTTCCTGCTAGAGCAGGGGTCACCAATCCTGGTCCTGGAGGGCCGGTGTCCCTGCAGAGTTTAGCTCCATCTTGCCTCAACACACCTGCCTGGATGTTTTAAGCATACCTAGTAAGACCTTGATTAGCTTGTTCAGGTGTGTTTGATTAGGGTTGGAGCAAAAATCAGCAGGACATCGGCCCTCCAGGAACAATTTTGGTGACCACTGTGCTAGAGTATTATGTACGCAGTACAGTGTACTTTTATACAAGTCACTTTGGAATGACGTTCTCTAATAAGACGATACTTGAAGCTCTTGAAAGAAAGCCAATTTGTGAAGCTCTGTTGGTCCTGAATGGTTGTCATAACCACATTAACACTCCATAAACTTCATGTTGGTATGACGACACGCCAAACAGCGCAAACACAAATGTAGCAAATGCCTTGTCTGAATAAACAAAGGTATAATCACACTTCTGCGCAAACAAAATAGCAAAGACAATCAAGTTTAGTAAAATACTGTACAGCGAAGTCCGTTTATTTTTGGTAAATACTTTGTTACGATTTCAAGGAGACAACATAATAAACTTAGACCAAGTCTGGTTTATGAAACTATTGTCATGTTTACAGGCTTGCTGAGAAAGAACTTTAAACATCTCCATATCTCTTCATCATTGAGAAATGAGAATTTCTAAAATTGCCTTAAAAAAGCTGTAGCAAATAATGCTGTCAACATGTGAAAAATCACAGCATAGCTTCAAGATTTAACCTCATATACTGAAACAATGTTCTTCTAGACAGAATTCATAGTCTACTAAACTATATTCTCCATTAAGATCAATAATTACTATTCCATGTACATTCAACCTTTAAAATCTTTCTGTTTATAAAGGGTGTACTAATAAACGAGAACTAAAACAGTGAATCGGTTTACCTAAGGTTATAGTCAAATTACACGATTCTGTAAAGAATCTGAGGGGCTCAGTTTGTTATTAGATTCTTATTCCCACAAAAACACATGCCACCCTCTTAAGATCCTGATTGCATCCTGAGGACTCTTTCCCTTACATCTTCCCCACTACATCCTCTCATTTCTTCCACTCCCTGCTCCTATCAAAAAGCATCCACAGCCTCACTGCTTTTCTAGGTCAATCCAAAACAATTTCTTTTAAACACATTTGTCACCCGGTGCGGTGCTCAGAGGATGTGCCGGCTGTCCACACACAGAACAGACAGGGATCCTGACATTCAGCAGATCTGACCTCTCAAAACCTCTTACAATGAATCCTGCCCCTCTCTGAGCACAGAAACCTCATGAGAGACAACAAACCTGCAGTTAACCTGTCTGTGTACACTTGTAAACTGATTTGAAATATATTTGAACATTCAACAAAAACATGTATTCAAACTGTAAAGAATGACTTTTTCAAAGACTAATTAAAGCTGTACCCTATTGGGAGAGTATGTACTGTAAATCACATGGTTGTCTGGTACCAAACAATACAAGTTCGTTACCAGTATCAATATGCAAATGTTACGTTTTTACATTCTATTTGTTTTGTTACCATGTAACCATGCACCTGCATTCCTTAAGGTACACTAGCACAACAGGATTCAGTCTGACCTTTCAAGAAATATAAATCTAACTAAAAGACCATGAGAATCTGCACCAAACGAAATCCAAATTTCATTTACTCCACCAATTTATTTTACATCCTGCTACAAAGTAAAAAAAAATTTGCCATGTCAAAATAGAATGCAAAACCAATTTTGGGGAACGGGTACATAAGTGACTAAAACAACTCAGTTTCGATTTGGCCTGTTGGCCTGGGTAACCCAGGAGGACTTAAATCTTAGTTCATAACAAAATTATATTAATAATTACTCCTCTCATGATGTTCCAATCCCCCTGAATCCTTTGATCATCTTCGTATGATGAATATAGATATTTTAGATGAAATCCTAGAGCTCTCTCTTCAATAAACAGTGACATCAAAACGTTCAAAGTCCAGAAACGGAACCAAAAACAGTCAATGTGACTTCAGTGGTTCATATGCAATCAATCTGTGTCAGAATAGGGTGCACATTCGCAATATGTTGTACCAAAAATGCAGGGTGAATGTGCGCCATAACCAGATGCAAAAATCAAAGATGAGCAAAGTCGTTCTTTAGAATAAACATAACATTCTTGGAAGTAGAGGTCTGCACTGGACAATTTTTTTAGTCCTGCTCCAGTAAGGTTTTATTCCGCACCCGACTGTTCCTGCTGTTTATTTAGTCTTTGTTCACCCGCTGCCTGCTTAGAATAATTTTTTACCCAGCCCAACATTCATTCATTCATTCTCTTTGTCGGCTTAGTCCCTTTATTATTCCGGGGTCACCACAGCGGAATGAACCACAAACTTAACCAGCAAGTTTTTACGCAGCGGATGCCCTTCCAGCCGCAACTCATCTCTGGGAAACATACACACACACATTCACACACACACAGTCACACAATACAGACAATTTATGCTACCCAATTCACCTGTACCACAAACCGGGAAACCGAAACACCCGGAGGATACCCAAGCAAACGCAGGGAGAACATGCAAACTCCACACAGAAACGCCAACTGAGACGAGGCTCGAATGACCTTCTTGCTGTGAGGCGACAGCACTACCTACTGCGCCACTGCTTCACCCCAGCCCAACATTTCCCGCTAAATTTAGATCTGGTTTCCAAAATCTCACGTTGAAATTGGGTACTACCAAAAGAGAGAGACAACAGATAAAACCGTAGGTTGTGCATGGATTGTATGGATTGACTGAAATGACATTGAATGTTTCAACAATGTTTTTGGTTGCTTTTCTGGTGACCATTGCTGTCTATGGAGAATGAGGGAGCTCTAGAAATTCATCTAAAATATCTTAACTTGTGTTCCAAAGATGAACGAATATTTCATGGGGTTAAATCGACATGAGGGTGAGTAATTAATAACAAAATATTTATTTGGGGTGAACTATCCTTTTAACAATACAATAAGGAACTAATGCCGAGTTCAGACTGCATGATCTTAGCCCCGATTTTGACTCGCTGACAGGTTTGGAGAAATTGCAGACAAATACCTGAAATCACAGGCAAATCTGTGCTCGTTCACGCGAGTCACAATCACACAGTATGAAGTTTCAAAGACGCGATCTGAGAAAAACGCTGATGAGTCGCCGAGGCCCGTGGGATATGTCATCAAATCACCAGGCTTTCTCTGATCATGCTGTGCGAATGAGTTTTGACTGAAAATAACATTAGCGATTACCTACAGCCAATGAGAGAGAAGCAACAACAAGTGTGGGTATCTGCAAGTCAGCGGGAGCTTGGGGGAGAAGTTAAAAGCGCTCATTTTCAGATTATTTGGCCTCACGAAATTAGGGAAAAACTAGTGTAAATTTGGCAGGAGCACCCGTGTCTGTTTGACGTGTCATTTTAGCAATACCACAACTGGGTCTAAACAAAAAGATGAGAAATTGCTAATTCCCTTGAAAAGCCAAGTGAGCAAATATGTACATTTTTTTACCTCATTAAAGGCTTCTTTCTCATTATGTAGGTAATATTAAAATATGTACCATGTGTTTTTGGTTGCGAGATGTAGTTTGAACAAAGTTGTTAGCATATCTTCCTATTGTAAAGTCATTCAGTGTGAAACCCTCTGTCTGTGATCCATCTTGCAGTTTAAACAAAGCAGTGACAAAACGCTAGCTCAGACAGTCATGCAGTATGAAAACATCAGAGACACGATTACTTTAAAAATCATGCAGTCTGAACTCGGCATAAGTAACATTAAATGGAGTTGCAGAGCAGAAATGGAAGTACCTGAATTGGGCCTTGATGTTGCTGGGACTGGAAGAACGAGGTTGCACCTCTTTCTCCTGCTTTTCTCTCAGGATCCGTTCAGCCAACAAGAAGTAAGTAGCAGTGATGTGGTTGTACTTGTTTGTCTCCAGGGCTCTGGGGGGGCGGTAAAGAAAAGTGAACGGACAAGTGAGGAGGGGATACAGGCAGTGTGTGAGGGAGAAACAGCTGTTTAGGTTTTGGTAGCTTGTAAAACTCCAGGATTCTAACTAGAGAGTCATGTTCAAAAGGTCTTGAGTAGTGCCCTACATTTTGAATACCTGAAACTAAAATAACTATGAAGAATCTCAGAAAGCACACTGCAGGTGGGACTATCGCCGTCCAACTTTTCGAGACGGTGAGTCTGGACATGTTAGGATAGACTACATTGCTTCTTAAGGGATTACAGGCAAGTTTAAAAAATGAGTTCATATCACAGCAACAATCTTTCGGCAAGGCTTGAATCTAATATTTGACTTGTTAGTGTTGGGTATGTTACTTCAAAAAAAAAAAAGTATTACATCATTTAAATTGTATTAAAATTACGTTCTAATTGCTGAAAAGTATTTGAATCACTTGACTCAATACTACACAACATTCTTACAAATCTCAAAGCACACATAATACAAATTAAACCCTTATAAGTATTGAACAGCCTTGTAGATTTATTAAAAAAACATGAACAGGGCAAACATAATTTGTTCTGAAACCAATTGAGAGTTTCCTTGGCTGTTTTGGATAATTGTCTTGCTGATAAGTCCACCATTTTGGTGTCTTCATCATCTAGTAATGCATATGTTTGGACTAAAGCAGCTAATATTAATGTACATTGAGAAGGGGCAGAATTTCAAAAAACTACTAAGATATTTCAGCTGCTGTCTGAGCTTTCCATGCCTTTTTACACCTCTCTTTCTTCATGTGTTTAATGCTTTTTAGCCCCATCATTTCATTTCATTACATCTAACTTCATTTCTAAACTAATTAGTTTTGTTCTCTTTGTATGACCCGTGCTCATTGATTGGTTCAGCACTTTATATACTGTACATATACACTAACGCCCTATTTACACGTGGCTTCAGCGTCAACGCTTGACTGAAGGCGTCGTCATAGCATCGTCAGCCAATAAAATTCTGTCAGCAATAGGCCACTGTCTAGTTGGTGTATTTGCATACAGCGATTTGATTGGCTGACGGATCCACAATGCTGTTCAGCAACGCCTGACCTCACCCATTCAAAGTGAATGGGAAGCGTTGACGCCTCGTATAAATGGGGCGTAAGGATTTAACATGAGCTTCTGTTTTGAGTTAACTAACTTTTTTTGTTTGTGAATCGAGAACATTTTGAAATATGAAATCTCTATTTTAATGCAATCAGCCGGTACACCATCGTGAGGGTCTCTTTAAGGTGAATCGACTGCAGTTTCTCATAGTGGGGTTCCTCAGCAGCCGGGGAGCGCGATTAAAGACATAAAGCAAAGACTGATGGCGGCTTTATACTGTCACCCAGCACGATTCTTTCTACAAGACTGTACAGCAGAGTCTTACTATATTGGCTTCGTGCTTACTATATTGGCTTTGTGACAGTGGGATGAACTTCTTTTTGTACCCTGCTAATAATAAAATCATTTTATTTTACAATAGCCTACATGGTCACAAGACAGCAATATGAAACATTAAGTTTGAGATTAAAGATTGCAGTGTTACACATTTTACTGATATATTGAAATAAATTTAACCTCATCCAAAACTTTTAATCTTAAACCAAATGTTTAATTCAGTCAAAATCTCCTAAGGTCGGTGATTAAATCAAAACAAGAAATACAATTGTTTAAAAGTTCAGATTAAATGATTATACATGTATTTTTGCACCCGAATCTTAAAGTATTTTGTTAGATTAGTTTCGGGTTTAACTTTGGCACTGACTAATCTATGGTATATGCATATTAAATATAATATTGTTAAGCATCCTATAGAAAAAATTTATTTAAAAGAGATCTGCGAGAGGTGTACTGTACTAAAATCATAGCTTTAATCAAAAATGTGTATTTATTTAGGGGTCTAAGAGTTTCTGAAATGTAAATGCATCACTAACCTTACAATATCCATTATACATCATTATTAAGCTTTCAGTTTACTGTATTCGAGTTATAATTCTATTCACATTTTTATGCTTTAGTGCCCTTTGTTGCAATGCTGAAAAATGTAAGAATTCATAGCATAACTGTGCTGCATAATTAACTGCATCTTGACATGTTTTAGTCAATGCGAAAATGTGTGGAATAAACTTGCTTCGAAGTTTTCATTTTTGACATATGTAAAGTATTTCTCAGGCCTAAGATTTTGGCTAAGAAATATTATTCGAGAGTTGTAAACTGCATTAACTCATGTTGACTTCTACAATTGTCCCATCTAGCTTCCAGCAAAGAGATTGGAAACCTTTTACACCAAAATCTTAAATCTGATTACATAAGCCAAAAATACTAGTCTGTGAATTTTCTTTTCTTTTTCCAATATTTCTAAAATGATCAGCAAAATAAAGTCCAAGGCACTCGAAAATTTTGAAAAAAAAAATTAAAAAGCCTTTATTTGACATGGCTATTCCTTAAAACTGTGCCTACGCGTTTCGGCAAACACTTGCTTTCATTAACGATTACGATGGTTACCTGGATGAAGGCAAGTGTTTGCTAAAACGCGTAAGAACAGTCTTAAGGAATCAATAGCCTTTTCCCTTAGATGAATCCCTTATCCAAAAAGCACCGATACATTAATTAGGCTAACCCTGAGTACTTTTTGTTTGATTTCAGATTTTCACAAATGATGTTTAACAGATTTTTCACAGTATTTCCTACAATATTCTTTCTTCTAGAGAAAGTTAAATTTGTTTTCCTTCGGGTAGAATAAAAGCAGTTTTTTGTATATACATTTTATTTATAAAATGTATTTTTAAAATCCTATTTCAAAATGACTAATAATATTGACCTTAAAATAGAAGTCTGTATTTTAATGCAATCAGTCAGCACACCATTATGAGAGTCCATTTAAGGTGAATCGACTGCAGTTTCTTATAGTGGGGTTACTCAGCTGCTGTGGAGCGCGATCAAAGACATGAAGCAAAGACTGATGGGTGCTTTATGCTGTCATCCAGCATGATACTTTCTACAAGACTGTACAGCAGCACAATCTTACAAAAGTGTTTGCCGAAACAAGTAGGCAGTTTTACGGAATAAACATGTCAGTAAAGGCTTTTTAATATTTTTTTGAGAGTCTTGGACTTTCTTTTGCTGTTTATTTAGATGAATCCCTTACTCAAAGAGCACCGATACATTAATTAAGCTACCCCTGAGCACTCTTTGATTGATTTCAGATTTCCCAAATGATGTTTAACAGAGCAAGAAATGTTTCACAGTATTTCCTGCTATATTCTTTCTTCTACAGAAGTTTTATTTGTTTTATTTGGACTAAAAAAAAAACATTTTTTAAAATCATTTTAATGCCAATATTATTAGCCCTCCTAAAGGTTCATGAAACCCTCGAGTATTTTTTTTTGAGATTTTAACAGATTTGTATGTGCTGAGCATTAGTTAGCACCTTTTAGCTTTAATTGTGAGGAAAACTGGATGATTTTGAGCTTTTGTCAGCTAATTTCAGCTTCCGGGTTTAAAATGATTTTTAGGACGGGATCAAAATGTGTCAGTTTCTCATTGTTATTCATAGTGAAGTTTTCTTATCCTATAAGAAGACCCTGCTTTTTAATTATTCATGAGAGCATGTGCTTTCTGAAGGCAAGGCAGACCTGCCAAGCTGTGAGACCCAATGACTGGGTGAGACCTCGTCCACGGACTCCACATGCGGTTTCCATGATCCACGGGGTTTGTTGCATGTTTTTTCCCGCGATGCTGTCAGGGCCGACACAGCAAAGCTGTTTGTCTGCAGCAAGCATTTTTGTTGGGAGATCAGTAAGAAGAATGGCGGACTGTCTTTATTAGTTGAGTTTATTACCATTTACACATCGCCTATCCGTGCTGCTGTGTTCGCCTATGTTTAAAACCCTCCAGATTACCGGCAGGGTTAGCGGTTGGAATAGACAGGGCAAGAGACCTGCTACACTGCTGTCCACGGTGTCTACATTCAGACCTGGGGATTTAGGAGGAGAGAAGTCCTCATTTATAGTGTTTATATAAACACACTTATCTTTATAATGATATAAATTGTGGTTATCTGTATATGAAATTACGCATAACATATGTAGCAGGACATTAAACTACTGTTTATTTCTTTGCATTTTAACTTTGTAAACTATAAAATTCATGGGTCTCCTCACGGTTTCTGTCTCATTTTGTGAGCTAACTGACAACAGTTGTTCGCCACCCTCTTTCTCCCCTGCTCTGCCAGCCATGCTCAGTCCTCCCTCTGCTCGCAGTGCTTCACGCTCATCATGATGCATCTTTTGAAAATATTCTGAGGTAGAATTAAACTGAAAGAGGAAGGTTTCATGACCTTTCAAGCAATATTTCTTTCTCGATAGTCTATAGAACAAACTATCGCTATACAATAACTTGTCTAACTACCCTAGTTCATACCTGTCAACCCTCCGGTTTTTCATGGGATTCTCCCCTATTTTACTGTTCTATCCTGCTATCACCCCGTAAAGGTATTTTCCTCTATTTCTCTCGAATTTTCAGTCTTTCTCTAAACAGCCGAGCCTCCCTATACGCAACCCATACCGCCGAACCACTAGGGGTCGCCCCATGTTCTAAAACGTGAGTTTTCTGTGCTTTCGCTTTGTTTAGGAATAAAAACACTTATAAATAAATACTAAAAACGGCGCGATTCCATTTCCTTTTGATTACAGGAGCCGTCGCCCATCCTATACAATCCTCAAAACAGTCATATAATGGTGCATGACTGTCAGCTGACGTGCACCACAGTAATAAACAGATGCTGTTTCCCAAACGGATTCTATACACGCGATCTGGCTTTCGGGTGCGTGTTTAAACAGACAAACACACATAAATAATAATATTAACAACATATTAAGATGCCGATGGTGTTTTTTTTTTTTCAAACACAACTAATTTCGTCTTAAATGAGCATAAAATGTAAGGAAAGCAGTCGAATGCTTTCATTATAACGTTAGATGTGTGCATTTTTAAAGTGACACCTGTTATTTAATGTAATAAAAATCTTAATAAATGAGATTCATTCTTTGCTCTTTAATCAGAATGTATAAGTTATACAGTGGAGAAACGGCTAATGAGATTTGATAGCTTGATTCCATGTCATAATAGCTATTAATTTCAATAAGCTGAACTGTTTGCTAATGTATTTGCTGTTAATCTATATATTTATTTTTCTTTTGTTAATAATAATTTTAAAACATATTACTGACTATTTAACTGTTTATTTACAATGAAACAGCTCCAAATAAACTTTAGTAATTTAGTTTTTTTTTTTTAAAGGGTCACGAAACACCAAAACAAAGTTTTTGAGCTGTTGACAGTCGTATATGTGTCCCACACTGCTAAAAACACTATTAGGACACCTATATTTCACTAAAAAGTGTAAATTGGTTGTTTTTGCGTTATTTCAAGCAAATTCGTACTTCCGGTTTAAAACTAATTTTTGAAGCTGCGTCATGGCCATGACATAATAGCGTTGTATTCCAGCGTGCAGACTGGACGTCTGTGCCAGAGTGAGTCTTATTACGTCTTACAGTGTGATGCATTAATGCATGAGTAAGGCTTGGTTCAAACCAATCAGCGCGCTCTAGACGCTTAGAGCAGTTCCTCGAATCAAATATCTCATTTGTCAAGAGGGGCATGAATGAATTCCCTAATTGAAAGAGCCAAACTGCAGTTAAAGTCCACCATTTAATAATCTGGCAAGTAATTCGACTACAGATGTCCATGTAAACACAGTCACTTTGTCCCCTGTGTGTGTGTGTGTGTGTGTGTGTGTGTGTGTGTGTGTGTGTGTGTGTGTGTGTGTGTGTGTGTTTTGACTCGCGCGTGTCCAAATAGACACTCCCACACCATCCCACCTTTCTTCCTCTGACACTCCCCCCTAAACAGAGCTGGACACGCCCACTTTTCTGACTTTTTCCAAAGTAGAGGTGTGAAAACACCCTGCTGAAAAAAGGGGGTTTCATGGCCCTTTAAGGAGGGGGGGGATCCCTTATTATGGTGGGCATATCCTTTATTTTCACATCCCAATGTTGACAGGTATGCCCTAGTTAACCGAATTAACCCAGTTAAGCCTTTAAATTGCACTTAAAAGCTGAATACTAGTATCTGGTAAAATATCAAGTAAAATATTGTGTACTGTCTTCAAGGCAAAGATAAAAGAAATCAGTTATTAGAAATGAGTTATTAAAACTATAATGTTTAGAAATGTGTTGAAAAAAAATATTCCTTCCGTTAAACAGAATTTGGACAGAAAAATATACAGGGGGCTAATAATTCTGATTTCAACAGTAAATCTGAAGACCTTTTCTTTAATTTCAATAAAGTTCTGCTCAAGTAATATAAAAAAATAACAAAAAGCTATTGTATCTGCAAAACATTGGCCCTAGAGCATCAGAAATCTGTTTCATAAATCTGGATCGCAATACTACAACAATTCCTTACTCGACGATGGCTTCTCTATCTGCGATATCTCCCAGGACCATGCGCTGGATGATGCTGTTGTGTTCCTCTTCAGAAAGATTCTTATGAGACACCAGAGGAGTGTTGTATTTGGTGGCTGGAGATGGATCCACCCCTTGAAGCCACGCGTGGCTCTCAATCTCCTCCAGCGATGCTCGCCTCTTTGGATCCCTTTGAAGCATTCGGTTTATCAGGCTGTGAAGAGACGAGGATGCACATTAGTTTGAGTTATTATGAAGGTGAAGATTTGATTACATCACCATTTTTCCTGATAAATACATTTCTAAAGATACTGCTAACATGAAATCACACCAGATAATTATAAAAACAAACTATCCGAACTGGAGATTGGTGATGATAATAGTGATGATAATAGTTAAAAATGGCAGTCTGTTCATGTTTAGGCTGCAGACGCATCATTTGCTGCTGTTTTTTCCGACTTCCCTTTTGTTTTTTTCGCGATTCACTCTCGCGTTTGTTCTTTTCTGACAGGATCAGATATCAAATCGCTTCAATGATCACAAGCAGGTTATTAATATGAGCTCAAGTAGTTTGTTATTTCAAGTATACACAAGACCGCGAGCTCTTTAAACAAAGCGAAACCGCTCGCACATTTAGACGGGCTCATAAAACAACAACAGGGCACAGCAGATTTTGAGCTCGGGTCGACCATGCGATTTCGATTTCGGCTTCTAACGATTATGAAAAACCATTAATCGAGATAAACGATTATTGCATCATATACCAAAAGCGCGAAAGACTGGGTGCTTATGTGTGTGTGCAACATGCGCACACGCATAAGCACAAGGTCAGCATTCGGTCTCATTCGCACACTAAGGGCCTACTCACACTATGCCATCTGTACCGTGCCCCGGCCCGTTTCCCGGATCGTTAGAGAAGTGTGAGTGCGCTGAATTGGGCTCAAGCACGGTTCACTTGGCCGGCCCTGGCCCGGTTGAAAAAGGTGTGCCTGAGCGCGGATCACTTGGGCTTTGGCGCAGTACGCTTGTGTGTGAGTGCAAAACGCGCCAAAGCCCAAAACTGAAAGCGAGACGTGACTTTTAAGGGGTTGTTTCATATGGATTTATTAATCATTCTTACTGTTCAGTGATCGCAAACTGCCGTAGTTTATTAAAGAAGCAAACTCCTCACAGCACGCCAGCTGCGCGCCTTCAGCAGACCCCCTCATTCCTGCAGCACGAGAGCTTTATGATTGTTTATGAGCGCAAAAAGTGGCGGATCTGTTCGGCGAAATATCTGACTGCATGTCACCGCATCCCTAAGGACTGTTTGGCGAAATATCTGACTGCATGTCAATGCATGACAAACGACTGAAAGGACATAACTAGAGAAATCTCCACTGTGCTACTGGGTGAGAGCGTATGGCAAGCCGTTTTAGCATTTAAACCTTGTTCTGACTATCCATAAATATATTTAGAGATATCTCTAATTATATTTTGACTATTCATAATTTTAATTCGACTAGTCAGAATGACAATTAGAGATATCTGCAATTACAATTGTACTAGTACGAATTCAGATTGGAGATATCTGCAAATATATTATGACTAGTCATATTCCTCCATTGACTTCCATTGAAAAATATTTGCAGATATCTCTAAATGAATTTACAGTAGCTAACAGTATGTAGTACAGTATGACAGTAGCTAAAAGACCAGCCTCCTTCAACCTCCTGGTATCTGAACGTGTAGAAAGAACTTTTTATAATAGTTTTCTTTACTATTGATTTGTAAGCAATCAGCATTATTCTTTACATCCTATTGTGAACCTTTATTTCATTATTATTTGCGCAGGCCTACGCTCTTTTGATGTATGTTTTTGTTTCATTTAAATAATATTGTTATTTGAGGATTAATATATCCTAATTGAGTAAACACCTACAATTTAGTACGTCTGTGTTTTTTTTCTTTCATGGTTATTGGACATTAATAGTGTTAATATACATACTGAGACGATTGGCACCGTAACAGTTACCAGTGCAACCCAGTTCTTCATAACACCTTTTATGAATTTTTATTACTCATTATTGAATATGGTTGATGAATATCATGATTATTATTATTATAATTGATATCAGCTGTATGTACCAGCAATAAACAGTTGTATTGCTTGATTAGTATGGTGAATGGACCTTTTATTGGTACCTTCTCTTGTCGATTAGCACCACACTTGTCTCACTTAAGTAAAAATTGAAACCATACAAAAACATTTTTGGTGTGCTGAAACATTTCAGATATTTATAATTTGGGCATACTAAAACAGTACTCTTTGCATGGGTGCCGAAAAAGTGGTAAGGTACAGTACGCCTTTTGACAGTGAAAACAGCCATAAAGGCTTTTCGAACTGTACCGTACCACTCAGTGGAAACGGGCCAATACTAAACCATTAATAGTTTGTACCGTTGCACACCTAGTGACACCCCTGACAATCAAATCAACTGAATGCCAAGCTAGCCATCTTGCATGGTTCTTCACAGTAAAAGTGAACAGAGATTGCAACATGCTTGCGATGTAGCCACAGAGGGCTTTTCTATCTTCAGCTGAGGAGAAGCCAATAACACTTGTATTAGCCGACTGAAAATGACTGGAGTTGCTGCTGTTGTTGCGAGTAGCCGCTGAGAGAAAGTTCGACCGGAGCGCATCAGCATTCAGCACACGTACATGACAAAATTACAGCCCAACCACCATGAAAGAGCCGGGGAGATTCAGTGGGCTTACAGCGGCAGTCTGAAAATCATCACCGCTGAGCTGCAGAGGCAGTCAGCCTGCTCTACTGATTATCTCTATGCAAGAAATTTGTTAAGGCAGAGAGAGAATAAATAGATACGAGAGAATCTGCCCGTTTGTCTCTCCTTGAATATGCTGCCAGGCTCTTATCGACTGCCGTTACATCTGAAATTTCCATTCTGGAGCCTAAAAAAAAAGGGGGGAAATCGGAACAACAGGACGCTTTTAGAGCAGAACCGAACTGATTAAAGCCACCATTTCTCCCAGTCACAATATGATAGGAGGGATGAGACTGCGAACTGTCATGATGACGTCTCCTCTGCAGCGTCGCAGGAATAACCACAGTCATTGGGTATTCTGGCAAGAGTGGCTGTCATTAGAGTAACATAATGAGAGGGCAATTATCAAAGGCTGTGGGACAAAATAATGAAGTCCAGATGTAACCTTTCAATGTCAATAGGGCTGTGCAATACAGCGATACATATATTGTATGGACAAGATAAAAAGTCTATTGTTTCATATCATGTTCAATCGTTTATATATTGCGGTGTCACAAAATACATTGATTATGGTAATACTTTTTCAAAGCACAATATTCTACGCCATTTAGGTTTGTCACGATACAGGAATTCGGTACTAATCAATACTGGAATTTTAAAAACATCCATTTCTGTCTAATATTGTAGAACGTTCTTAAACGTCACTGTTTTGCCGTAGTGTTCACGTGCTCAACAGAAACGACTGTGATTGGCCGAGAAGGTCATCAGTTAACCGAACTCACCACTGTTCACTGCGTTTAACCACAGATACAGGGACACTGGAGCATTTTAAAGCCGCGATTCATCAGCGGATCACTCATATGTCAACTCATAGACAAACCAGCTGATCAACCTGACTTTAAAAAGCTCCAGTTTCCCTGTATCTGTGTTCACTCAGTAAACAGCGGTGAGTTCTGTGAACCGATTACTTTCACGCCCAATCACTTTCATTTCCGTTGAGCACATGAACACAATGGCAAATTAGCACTGTTTACGAACGTGCTCAATAGCGCTCAAATGTTCGCAGGAAATGGACGTTTTTACACATTTCAGTATCATCACCGCATCACATTATTGTGGGTCCTATTTTATTATGGGTCTATTTTTATTTGAGTCCTATTTTAATGTCAGAAATTAAAAAAAAGAGACTTGTTTATACCTACACACAGTTCTGTCCAAGCAGCTTACAAAAGATGATTTTCGTCATAGGTGCCCTTTAAACTTGATTTAATCGGTCGACGATAACATCGAGATAATCATTGTGTGATTAGGACAGCTGTTTGTGTCAAATCTCAATGATCTTCGGCTGAATGTAAAAGCAGTGTGTGAAACTACGACGTAACATGAAGAACGTTTGGAGGTAAAACACCACCACACTTCCCTCATAACAAGTCAAATGTTGGAAATAAATCTTGAATCAATGAAAGCAGTTAAATCTTGTTTATTCAGCAACCGCTATTTTCTCTAGGGGATTGGGTTTCTTTACGTGTATTTGAACAGGTTTGTGGGTTTTTGAGAGAGCGCCCTCTGGTCTTCGGATGGAATTTACACCATATCACATCATGTTTCCTTGAAAAAATGTGCAAGCATTTGCGATTTCAATTCGATGAAGTGGAAATTAAATGAGCCTAGTAAAGTATGGTTTTACCCTTGGTCCTTACTTTTACTCGTTGCCGTTCTGATGTATCGCCTGCGTTACATAGCATGTTTATTGGGAAACATTGGGAAATATCATTACCTTAGAATTTTAAGGTTCTATCTGGCATTTTTGTCAAAGTTTAATTATTGACATTCTAATTAAATGACAACTTATTCAAATTATGGGATTTTTTTTTTTTTTATAAGTTCTTTACATTTTAAAGACAGTTTATTAAAAAAAACAAATGTTACACTCATATTGTCAGTTGTATGCAATGCCAATTCTTTGAAGCTCAATATCCAAAATCATTCAGAACGCAGATAGAACCTATAATTCCAAGGTGACGATATAACGGCTTCCCACAAAAAGACTTAACATGTCATATATCCTTTAAAAGCTGAGATTCTTGTGATTAAAATTATTCCAACCATTTTAAGACACAATAAACAAAGCAGACACAATTTGTGTATAGTTCAAACTACAGATAACCGCAAAAACAAAAACAAAACTAAACAAACTCACATTTTATGCCTCCTGTCTGTCCACAGATCTATAACATTTTACCAAACAGGGTGTATTTACACTGAAACGGGTCGAGCCAATCCAATTCAGTAAATATTTAGTCCACAACCTATTTATATGCCAATAAACATCCAAGGAATGCACCGCTATCATTTCAAACCAGTTGCCAGAGCAATCAAATCTATCCATGATGTGTTCGGTGGTGTTGCGTCTTTTTACATATAAACATTACTACTATTTTGAAAGGAA